CGGTCGTGGGGCCTGAACTCTTGGCCTGGGTGCTGTCCCTCAGCTCTTCAGCTCAAGGCTAGCTAGCACTCTACTACTTGAGCCACAGCGCCACTTCCGGCTTTTTTTTTCTGCTTATGTGGTGCTGAGGAATCGAACCCAGGGCCTCAAGCATGCAAGGCGAGAGCTCTACCACTGAACCAACTTCCCAGCCCTCCATGAAACTCTTATCTCCAATAACCCAGCAGAAAACTGGAAGTGGCGCTGTCGCTGAAGTGGTAGAGCATTAGCCTTGAGCTGAAAAGCTGAGGGACAGCGCCCATGCCCAGAGTCCAAGCCCCATGACTGACAAAAAAAAAAGATAAAGGGCAATACCCAGCCCAGTACTGTCACATTTATAAACAAAGGTTGGGCTGGAAGCATGGCTCAGTAGTAGAGCACCAGCCATGGATAAGCAAGGCCAACAAGAGGCCCAGATTTCCAGCCCCACGACTACCGCCCTCCAAAAAACATGGGCCATGTTGCAGGAGCCGGCAAAGGCTCTGACACGTCTACCCTGCTGGCCTGAGTGTGACAGCCACGGCCTCATGGAACTCAGTGGCTCCTACTCCCGCCTCACTCTGGAACACACCTACAGAGCTAACCTCTGACACCACGTGGGCTATGCTGGATTTCTGAGTGACTTGGAGGGGTCGAAGTCAGCCTTAACATCCACCTCAGACCCAAAGGCCTCCACACGGTGTGGACGCCCATCACAGGCACAGCCAACAAGGACAAGTCCCTCGTGCCGTGCAGCTCAGCTCAAAGGACAGGCACAGAACAGGCCCCAGCCTGGAGGCTTTGCCCAGTATCCAACCAAGGACTAAGGGAACTCAGGATCCCCCCCTGCCCCCATGATGAAACCCCGGTACCTAACCTGATAGTGCCACCAGGACCCCAAAGTCCCCACAAGCCATCAAGCCCTCCTTCGATGGAGGAGGGGATGACAGCTAAGAGGGTGGAGCACTCACCTCGGAGGGTGTCCACGACAGCCCGCAGGGCCCGCGCCGCCTCCTCCCCCAGCAGAGGGAAGTAGCTCTGGGGGAAGAACGGTGCCAGGTTGTCCCGCTGCAGGCGGTTGCCCAGGAGGTCAGGCAGGCCCACCACCCTGTTGAGCAGGGTCTCCTGAAGGAGCGGGAAGCTGGGCTTCGTCCGTGGCCGACACTGCTCTTCTATCAGAGCTGCCACCCTGCCCTCGCTGAGGAACCTCGCCAGCAGCTGCGCCATCTTCATCAGACGGAAGCTGGGGCTGAACAGTGCAGGTGTGTTAGAAGCCTCTCCTCCCCCGCCTCCCACAGCCCTTAGCACGCAGGCGACATCGGTGTCCTGACTCATGAGCTGAAGGAAAACTCCTGTTCTGAATGAGCGGATACTGGTGGTGGGATGTGAGTGCCGCTCAGAGCTGTCCTCACAAGGAACAGCATGTGACCTGACGGCCAACCTGGAAACCACCTGGGACTGGTGTCTGTGTCGTGCATACAGCAGCTAGGCCACGCTGTCCTGAGCGAGGTCAGCAGGCGCCAGCTGTGCTGCTGCTGCTGGAGCTGACTCGCTGCCTGCGCCAGTGATGTGAGCCCTGCTCGCCCAGCCAGTGGAGAGGGGAGGCAAGGGCCTTCCTGGGACAGGCAGGTCCTTCCCCTGGAAGAAATGGACACCAGGGTCCAGCTGTGAAAGGACAGTTCTCAGTTCTCTTTTCACGCCTTCCAGGACACCCTACTGTCAGGGCTGAGAGGCCCATGCAGCTGCCGGTGTCATTGGCTGTTCAGGGTTTTCACTGTAACCAACCGCTCCTGGGTCATGCCCCTGCCCCTCACCCGGCAGTGCCCTCGATGGCCTCCATGATCACCAGGAAGGCCTGGTCAGCAGGGCCCTCCAGGAAGAAGCTTCCCCAGATCTGCTCCAGCTGGCCATCTGGGGTCAGCTCCAACCAGCTGGGGCTCAGCTTGCTGAACAGACATCTGAGGAAAGCCGAGAAGTGTATAGCGGCAAACTCTTCTTTCTCTCTGCCAAGGGCTGGGTCGCCCGCCTCACCCAGATACCGCTTCAGGGCACCCAGGGTGGACAGGATGTGAACCCCATCCTCAGAAGAGGACAGGGTGTGAATGGCTTCTCGGACGGAGATGCGGACAGCAGACAGCTCAGGGTCCATCCTGCAGGGCGAGCCTGAGGGTCACAGGAAGGCCCGAGGTCAGCCGAGGTGGGGAGGCCAGTCCCTCCTCGCCCAGAGCTCACCTCGGCCTTGGCCTTCCAGTCCCGGCCTCCTCGTCCCCCTCCCTGGCCAGGCCGGTGCTTCACAGCCCCCACCTGAAAGTCCGCAGCGCCTCGTGAGGCCCGTGCCTCCTGGGCACCGACCCCACGGGCACGGGCCGGACCCCGGG